CCCCAAAACCCCAAAACCCCAAAACCCCAAAACCCCATGAATACTAATATTCAAAGGAGTTTAATTATTTATATAATCAAGAAGTCGAACATAAATAATTACTTTACATATTTTAATGGATTCAAACAAGAGTTTCAAAAATGAGTCAAAATGTTCACCCAGACGTCTGAATAAAATGAGCAACTTGCGTCTAAGACTTTCGATGAATGAACAAGAAGCAAGCTAACCAATGAATATTTAAGATAATTTTTCCAATGAGGTAGACTTATAGCCAGAACAGGTTACTGTTCGAGATCTGAAGAGTACTAAAATTAAAAGTCACAGGCATAATCAGCATATTAATCAATAACCTAAATTCAATAAAATTTCTTTGAACTTCAGTCCTAATAAGAGAAATCGTAGAATGAGAATCTTAAGAAATAATGAATAGATCAATCTGTCCTATAACTACTAAGATTCCTCTTAAGATTCTGAATCTCCTAAAAATAAATAAAGTTATTAGAACTTTGTAGAAAATACATCCAAAGAAAAAGCTTAAATAAAGAGAGATCTCGAAAGGAAAAGTAAAATTGTAAAGATGAAAATTTCTCATATTTAAACTCTTGACCCTGAAGATCATGATAATAGTGCAGGATTTGTTTAGGAACATTCTAGATCATCACACACCAAGAAAGCCAAGCCACTACTCTATGATACGCATGATCCATCTGTAAGAAGAGAATATAACTTTAACATAAGGGAGTAATCTCAAATTTTACCAGTGAGCTACAATCCAATAAAGTAATTTTCCGATTAAAAGATATTTGAAATGTCCAATCTATACACCGAAAGATAAAGTGTGTCTAGTAAGGCCCCTTAAAGCGTTCTACCACCTCTGAAACTTTCATCTAGGAATCAAAAGATTAGTACTTTTAAATACCTTCATGAAAGCATCAATAATATTAAGGACTCTGATGTCATTAAGAATAGAAATAGATCAATAAACAAAGTGAGTGATACTGTCTCAATGTTAAAGACTGCCAAGGTTAAGTTCTTGAGAAGGTCTATCCATGAGAATGAATCTTCTACCACTTCCCCAGATAAAAATAGAAGCAAGGAAAGAGACTAAGAGTTATAGTAAAAATAGCAGTAGCCAATGTAGGCTGAATTCAATTCAAGGATATAGTTATTTTCGGAAGAGTAAGGTATTAAAGCAATGGCTAAAACCCAGAGCAAACAAAATAGGAATCAATCAACAATCCATGAGCATTCAAATGTATTAAGAAATGAACTTTAAAGGCTACTGAGAGGAAGGAAAGCTAAAGCATCTTTTTAGCAAAACTAATAGTTCCTCAAAGTTCCAGAATAGTAATCATTAAAAGTTGACTCCAGTTAATTGACTATTAACACCCAGAGTGAATCCTTTATAAATCTTGACGTAACTGAGAAGCCTGCTGAGATAAAAATCTAATCTCTTTTGAGTGATTTATAGGATAAATTAGTTACCTTCACTAGTAAGAATCAAAGAGGAATAGTAGAAACCTTATTTAAGGCTAGATACATGGAATCTTAGAAATTTCCGAGTATCAGAAAGTATCATGAAGAGCACTCAGAATTATGAAAATCGTAAATAATCATCCAAATGAACTTAATTTCTTAATAGATTAATTAATGTCTAATCTATTAATTCTTACATATTAAAGTTGGGGTTTTGGGGTTTTGGGGTTTTGGGG